GTCGTCTGCTAGCAAGTAAACAAAGGGGGATAACTCTTCACAAACTAATGAAAAAGGATTAACGGAGTTGTCTTTCTTGAATGAAACCAAGCACTTGATAGCTTGTCAAGGTTGTTTATACTAGAAATCCAATTAAACATATTCCTAAAATTCTCAATATTTTCTGGTCATACTATATATAGTTATGAGTTTACTATTGGAAAATTTATCAGAAATATTTCTTCCTAATAACTTTTATACGAAGTAAATAATATCAAAGTTACAAAAACTATGCATTTATGGTATATATTTGAATATATTTAAATAAATTTGACCAAATTAGGATCAATGACCAAATTTGCTGGGGCATTTTGAACCTGGGGCAATTCGACTGGTACCCATGAGATATATGTTATCAAAATCAGCAAATTTCACATGAACTTGAAAATGTTTCGCTATAACGTTCGTTCTGGTTTGGAGCTCTAAATGCTGCAGTCTATCTGAACAAATTGCCGAATACAACGGCAAATCATGAAGTACATGTCACATTCATTGTTTTCCATTTTGTTCAATTACGCACGTCGGCATCAGACTCGCTAAATGTCAAAATAGTGTGTGTTGTGAAAGTTGTTCGGTATTCTCATTGGCTGACCTGATGTCATTCTAAGGTTATGACCTAGCACCATCACGATAACTATTTACATAAGCAAAAACTAGGGAAATATACATTGTCCTGACAAGTATTTTATAATTCACCAGTTTTCGGGGCATAACTTATCTGCATCGCTTATATTATCTCTGCTCGACCAGGCTGGGATCTTGTAGAGAGACTTCATACGTTATTAATGAGGACAAGGATCCTAATTTTTTTCAACACAATAATTCCAGTGTAATATTTTATAGCAGATAATTTCTATTTTCCCCCGTCTGAAGCATAAAAGCGACACCCTGCAGTCACCCATTTGACAAAAGGAACTGCAATCACATTTCAAAAAAATGTTTTCTTAGGGATTGGTCATTTATTTATAGGGTGGGTGGACTGTATCACATTTTTCCGTTTCACTTGATTCTTCTTTTTCATCTTCACGGGAATATTGTCAAGCAAGATGTAAAATCGGATCGATTATTGCGATTTTACAAACTTTTGTGAAACTTTAGTAATGGAAGGTGACTTAATTAATTTATAGAGCAAAAACTGTAATTAAAATTACACAATGCTAGGATATATTTCTTTGGGTTAAATAATAGTATTCTGTATTATATTTTACTGAGGACTCTGCGCCAGAATTCGTCCCGTTATTTTATTGTGCATGTTTGAACTTGATCACCAGGAAACGTGTGCACAGCTGATTGCTATTTCCGGCTCAGATACACATGGTAATCTTAATCCCTGCAAATAATACAATGCCCAGCAAAACAACTTAGAACTTAAAAGGTGAATAATCTTGTCTAGTGATGTTTAATTGCAAATTTGGCGTCTCTACTGACAAAGTCGATCTTCTGTTGTTTGTTCACGCTGATGATACGGTGTTGTTTTTCTTACCCCTGGAAAAAGTTTGACGTAAAAAGCGTAACCCATGGATAAGACGGCCCCCTTCTACAGACTGCTTTTTTTTTTTGGTCCTCAAAATTCGGGCTTATAGACACTCATATCACGGTATCTTTTTCCCCAAATATCACACACAAAAATGGCGCAAGTATTCTCCTTTAAGGTGGGAGGAAAACAAAGATGTATACCACTTTGTGATGCTGAAAAACAGCTGGAAACATACTTGACATGAACCACGAGTTCAACACCAAAATCACAGGATCCTGATGCATCAAGAGAACACAACTCCACAAACTGAGGTGCGTTAGATGATTGGGCCATCTGTAGACCCAAATTCATAGAAAAGTTAGGGCTTTCATCATGAATTGTCTTCAGTGCATAATACAAGGGATGTTTTGTTTTGAGTGTAATATTTTATAGCAGATAATTTCTATTTTCCCCCATCTGAAGCATAACGGCACCCTGCAGTCACCCATTTGACAAAGTTGAACTGCAATCACATTTCAAAAAAATGTTTTCTTAGGGATTGGTCATATATTTATAGGGTGGTGTGCTGGTTGGATCTGTATCACATTTTTCCGTTTCACTTGATTCTTCTTTTCATCTCTTCTTCGTGAATATTGTGAAACTTTAGTAACGGAAGGTGACTTTTAGGATAAGTTTTTCCCAAATATCAATAATAACAAAATTACGCTTAGTATTCTCCTTTAGGTGGAGGGATACCATAGAGAATTACTAATTAGTGTCTGTCAGATACCATTTATCTTACAACAAGTTGTAAGATAAATGGTATCTGACAGACACTAGTACAGTAATCTGTTTCAGTTTACACATATAAAATCTCACCACCATTTTTATGGTCGAATAGATTGAATCTCAAATTTCCATATTTTCTCATCATGCAGCCATAAGAATAATACACAACACAACGCTTATATGAATGAGTGACATCACTTGGCTTTCTAATCACTACTCATCGCCATGGTGACCCTCCACAAAAAAGTTTCTGTCACCTCTTCGCATCATCAAGGGAATAGTGATAATGAAAACTAGATAAGATCACAGAAAATTAATTAAACCCTCAAAATCGATTATGTTACCATGCAAATGTGGATGGTTTTAATTCTTGCAAGCGTAAAATATTTGAGTGTGTGACGTCATCGTTATCGCTTGGTGGTTGTCGTCATCGGAAGATTGTTTTGTACTTGTGTACCAGTTTACGTTCAATGTTCTCCCATCGACCGGAGCCAAAACTTTTGAGTGTGTGTAATTAGGTGCACCCAGTGTGCTTGAATGTGACATTGCTGAGGTTACGTTCACTATCAATGGGGGACTACATCCTGAAACTGCCACTCGGAATGTAATACGGAGTTGTCAGTATGAAATGTGAGTTGATTACATCCTGTAAGTTATCAAGACATAAACCCTTCATTACCATGCGTCGGAGGAATATCTTGAGCAATGACTTATGTGTAGATAAACCGTTTCTGTACATGTTCGATTGAATAGAAAAGACATGTACCGCCATTTGCACTCATGAAGCCTTGCAAAACGTACCATGTCGTACATTGTTTCAACGAGTGTGTTTTGGTTCTGATTGTCATGAGTGAATTTGATAACATTGGAATCACATAGTATCTCAGAGCTTCATTAGTGGGTCTTCATTATGTTTATCAGTGAAAAATGTCATCTTCATCAATGCATCAAAGAAACAACGGAAGGCAAATCGACCTCACAATGGACAGGCACTGGCGATTTTATCGCCAAAATTGTCAGGTACTTTTGCAAGACAACACATGACACTTGCCTCGCATCTCTCCAGTAAAAGTACCAATGTTGTACATTTTGAATATTCTCAAGGAATCCCGGCTTTATCTCTCAACGGTGATTTTCACATAATTGTTTACACAGGTATCACTGATTGTCTCGAGCCATTTTGAATTCAATGACTAGAAATCAAAAGTTTTAATAAAAGGAATTAGAAAATGAATAGATTCGTGTTATATTTATTCTACTTGTGACTCATTGTATAAATACCTGTTTATGTTGCAATCGCGAAAATAACAGGGAGGTGTAATGGGTGTTTTTTTGCACGAGTAACAGGTTTCTGTTCGATTAAAGCACGAGTAACTTATCAATGAATTTTAATCAGGAAAGTAGTCCGTCATAACCTGACCCTAGGTCATCACCATGGAGTAGCCAATCACGAGATTAGAAATCGATCTCACACATATTTGTGATACCAGTTTTCTCCCATGGGTTTCTCACCCACGGGTGTGTAAGAAAAAGATGTATACCACTTTGTGATGCTGAAAAACAACCAGAAACATGCTTGACATGAACCACAAGTTCAACACCAAAATCACAGTATCCTGATGCATCCAGAGAACACAACTCCACAAACTGAGGTGCGTTAGATGATTGGGCCATATGTAGACCCAAATTCATAGAAAAGTTAGGGCTTTTATCATGAATTGTCTTCAGTACATAATACAAGGGATGTTTTTGTTTTTGTTTGTTGTTTGATGCTGCACTCCAATATTCCAGCTATATAACAGTGGTCTGTAAATAATCGAGTCTGGACCAGACTATCTAGTGATATCGTAAGCCTCGACATTCGCAATTAGGTTAAGTTGACAGACCTCAACCAAGTCAGCGAGTCTGACCACCCGATCCAATTAGTTGCATCTTACAACAAGCATGGGTTGCTGAAGACCAATTCTAACCTGGATGTTCACAGGATCTCTCCAGAGCTAATCCCTACTGTAGGGATTAAATAGTAAATAGTGTTAAAAGTACAGTAAGAGCTTACTTGTAACACCCTTGCCCCAAATCCCCAGAACTGACCTTCACAACTCAAGCACATTTATCAACAGGCAAATTTTATTACTTAAAACATATATGTGGTTTCAAAATTTTTAAATCTTAATTGGACAATTGATTGTGTCCAAGCTGGATCTAAAACTAACAACATCCATTGGACAATAGATTCTGTTGAAATTAAATCTGAAACTCACAACACCCTTTGACTACAGATTGTGTTGAAGTTGAATCTGAAACTCACAACACCCTTTATACTACAGATTGTGTTGAAGTTGAATCTGAAACTCACAACACCCTTTTATACACAGATTGTGTTGAAGTTGAATCTGAAACTCACAACACCCTTTGGACTACAGATTGTGTTGAAGTTGAATCTGAAACTCACAACACCCTTTATACTACAGATTGTGTTGAAGTTGAATCTGAAACTCACAACACCCTTTATACTACAGATTGTGTTGAAGTTGAATCTGAAACTCACAACACCCTTTATACTACAGATTGTGTTGAAGTTGAATCTGAAACTCACAACACCCTTTTGACTACAGATTGTGTTGAAGTTGAATCTGAAACTCACAACACCCTTTATACTACAGATTGTGTTGAAGTTGAATCTGAAACTCACAACACCCTTTATAGAAACTCACAACACCCTTTGGACTACAGATTGTGTTGAAGTTGAATCTGAAACTCACAACACCCTTTGGACTACAGATTGTGTTGAAGTTGAATCTGAAACTCACAACACCTTTTATACTACAGATTGTCACAACACCCTTGAAGTTGAATCTGAAACTCACAACACCCTTTATACTACAGATTGTGTTGAAGTTGAATCTGAAACTCACAACACCCTTTATACTACAGATTGTGTTGAAGTTGAATCTGAAACTCACAACACCCTTTATACTACAGATTGTGTTGAAGTTGAATCTGAAACTCACAACACCCTTTATACTACAGATTGTGTTGAAGTTGAAATCTGAAACTCTGAAACTCACAACCCTTTATACTACAGATTGTGTTGAAGTTGAATCTGAAACTCACAACACCCTTTATACCTTTATACTACAGATTGTGTTGAAGTTGAATCTGAAACTCACAACACCCTTTATACTACAGATTGTGTTGAAGTTGAATCTGAAACTCACAACACCCTTTATACTACAGATTGTGTTTATACTACAGAGTTGAAGTTGAATCTGAAACTCACAACACCCTTTATACTACAGATTGTGTTGAAGTTGAATCTGAAACTCACAACACCCTTTATACTACAGATTGTGTTGAAGTTGAATCTGAAACTCACAACACCCTTTATACTACAGATTGTGTTTTGAATCTGAAACTCACAACACAGATACAGATTGTGTTGAAGTTGAATCTGAAACTCACAACACCCTTTATACTACAGATTGTGTTGAAGTTGAATCTGAAACTCACAACACCCTTTATACTACAGATTGTGTTGAAGTTGAATCTGAAACTCACAACACCCTTTATACTACAGATTGTGTTGAAGTTTAATCTGAAACTCACAACACCCTTTATACTACAGATTGTGTTGAAGTTGAATCTGAAACTCACAACACCCCTTTATGACTACAGATTGTGTTGAAGTTGAATCTGAAAGTCACAACACCCCACTTTATACTACAGATTGCACTGATTGTGTTGAAGTTTAATCTGAAACTCACAACACCCTTTATACTACAGATTGAAGTTGAATCTGAAACTCACAACACCTGACAGATTGTGTTGAAGTTGAATCTGAAACTCACAACAACCCTTTACTACAGATTACAAATTGTGTTGAAGTTGAATCTGAAAGTCACAACACCCGCTATACCTTTATACTGTGTTGAAGTTGAATCTGAAAGTCACAACACCTTCTTTATACTAACAGATTGTGTTGAAGTTGAATCTGAAACTCACAACACCACAATTATACCCTGGTCTACAGATTGTGTTGAGGTTGATTGTGCCCTTTGTCTACAGATTGTGTTGAATCTGAAACTCACAACACCCTTTGACTACAGATTGTGTTGAAGTTGAATCTGAAACTCACAACACCCTTTATACTACAGATTGTGTTGAAGTTGAATCTGAAACTCACAACACCCTTTATACTACAGATTGTGTTGAAGTTGAATCTGAAACTCACAACACCCAAGAATAAATAGGTTTGGGAAATGAATAAGTTTCAGGTTTTGTTTGTTCTACTGAACTACAGATTGTGTTGAAGTTGAATCTGAAAGTCACAACACCCTTTGACTACAGATTGTGTTGAAGTTGAATCTGAAACTCACAACACCCTGTTATACTATCAGATTGTGTTGAAGTTGAATCTGAAACTCACAACACCAGAATTGCTTTAAAATATATGGAAATATTTGGGTCAAACAAGTCAAAGCAACCGAATTCCGCTTTAAATAAGCGGTAATATTGGCTTTCTTGTTGGTGCTAACCTTAACAAATGCACTATTAAAGGCTGTTGATGGACCAAACCGAACACTGACATAGTTTGACATGTTGCAGGCTATGGTCTTGTCAAAGGCCAAGGTCGAATATCGTCACTTTCTGTTGTGATGTCACTTGATTGTTCGATGACGATCGTAATTGCATTCGGGCAGTCAACCCGTCAGAAGTTGATTTGGGTAAACTTACAGTCAAATTCCTTCATTGTTTCCTTTTCCTTTCAACACAAATTCCATGTATTTTAGCGTTAATAATAACAGTAATGCTATTTGTGAGGGCATTATCATTTGCAGAAGCCCTCGGTCTTTTTCAACTGCCCTCCTTCGTCGGGCAGTTAATGGAAGAACTCGGGCTTCTGCAAATGATAATGCCCTCAAAAATAGCATTACCCTTATATCAGTGAAGATTTCGAGAGACTGAGTTTGTGTTTGGACATTTATCAGTATAGTAGAGGATACATGGGATACTGAAAAGGTTGTAGAATAATATAATAATAAAATAATATACAAAATTTGTATAGGGCCCTATATGATGTAGGCAATAAAACTCTCAAAGGCGTTTAAATGCTGCAGAGTGACAGTGTAAAAGAGCAACAGTGTCCCTGACCTGCTGTCAACTAGGCTTAGTCCTGGCAATGACCACATGGTAGTATTTTGGTCATGGCAGGGATTTATATTGAACACAAAAGAAGTTTCTCTGGATGGTAACATGAGACTTCCTTCTCTGTGTTGTAGCCTGGGGCCTGTTTCACTACGACTGTCGTAAGTCTATGTTAAAGTATGGGAGTTACGATCACCTTAGTGCTACAACAGTCGTAAGTCTATGTTAAAGTATGGGAGTTACGATCACCTTAGTGCTACAACAGTCGTAAGTCACCTTAGTGCTACAACAGTCGTAAGTCTATGTTAAAGTATGGGAGTTACGATCACCTTAGTGCTACAACAGTCGTAAGTCTATGTTAAAGTATGGGAGTTACGATCACCTTAGTGCTACGACTGTCGTAAGTCTATGTTAAAGTATGGGAGTTACGATCATCTTAGTGCTATGACTGTCGTAAGTCTATGTTAAAGTATGGGAGTTACGATCACCTTAGTGCTACAACTGTCGTAAGTCTATGTTAAAGTATGGGTGTTACAATCACCTTAGCGCTACGATTGCTTTGTGAAATGGGGACCAGGAATTTGTATTGTGCTGAGCCTCACTGTCATCCACAATCTGTCTCTTTCATCCACATTGTGTGTCATACAAATAACACCCTGACTGTCCTGTGTCAGCCCGAGTGAGTGAGTGAGTGAGTGAGTGAGTGAGTGAGTGAGTGAGTGAGTGAGTGAGTGAGTGAGTGGTGAGTGAGTGAGTGAGTGAGTGAGTGAGTGAGTGAGTGAGTGAGTGAGTGAGTGAGTGAGTGAGTGTGATTTCACGCTGCTTTTGCAATACTATAACAATATCACAGTGGGGACACCAGAAATGGGCTTCACACATTGTACGCATGTGGGGAATTGAACCTGGGTCTTCAGTGTGATGAGCGAACGCTTTAACCACTAGGCTACCCAACCGCACTTCGGGTTGTTTGAAGCCTGGTACTGACTCACTAATTGTTGCCTTCTCTCATTAGTGAAGCTTGGTAACACTTTGTAACACTGTCCCCATGATTTCTAATGTTTGCTTGTTTCCTTGTCCATTTATGCTGCACTTGGCAATATTCCAGTTATAGGATGGAGAAATGGAAGTAACCAGACCACTGCATCTCTTATTTCGCTCATATGACGACGTGCATGAGAGTGTATGTGTATGTGCGGCTGCTTGTACTAGCCCAGACTTAAGCTGGTTTTATAGTGCTAGCGTACTGAGATACCATGCTGCAGTTAAGCATGAATACCCCACTCAGACACATTATACTGACTCCAAGCCGACCAGTCCTTGTTGTACCCATTAATGCCGAACGCCACACAGGGACCAACAAGTACCATATTTTAACGTCTTTTGGTATGACGCGGCCGGGGATCGAACCCGCGACCTTCCGCTCTCCGGGCGGACGCTCTAACCACTACACCACGGAGGCGGTCTCTGACAAGGATGCCTGCCAGGTCCAACCTTAGTTAGCTCCTGGCTACCGGGGATCTGGGTCCCGTTCCTCAGAGTGATCGCAGCGCTACGACAGTTGTAAGTCTATGTTAAAGTATGGGAGTTACGATCACCTTAGCGCTACGATCGCTTTCAGGAACAGGGGCCCTGGCCTTATACAGGATAGAAACAAATTTAGAACGCGTTTGGATAGAAAACCTGAACTCTTTATTGATGAAACAAGACTACAAAGCTATGACAATAATATGAAGACATATCTCCTGAAGCAGTGAAAGCAACAATATAAAAAAGTAGGAGTTTTTTCAAAATTTAACTCTGATCATACAAACACATGTCCCTTCCACACTGCACTACAGCAGTGGAAGGGCTCATACACAGAATACAGAAAAGTCAGCTTACAGATACTGTAGTATATGAATGTTCCCCAGATACCTCCAGTTCCCCAGAACTGCCATCTTGCTGATATTTAAAACAGGAATTTAACCCATATATTCTGCTACTATTCTTTATACAGAACTGCCATCTTACTGATATTTAAAAAAGGAATTTAACCCATATATTCTGCTACTATTCTTTATACAGAACTGCCATCTTGCTGATATTTAAAACAGGAATTTAACCCATATATTCTGCTACTATTCTTTATAAAGAACTGCCATCTTGCTGATATTTAAAACAGGAATTTAACCCATATATTCTGCTACTATTCTTTATACAGAACTGCAATCTTGCTGATATTTAAAACAGGAATTTAACCCATATATTCTGCTACTATTCTTTGTACAGAAATGCCATCTTGCTTATATTTGAAAACAGAAATTTACACCTGGTACCTATCTCTGAACAAAAATGTAAGCCTACATATTTTTAGAAGAGAAATTTACCCTATGTACCTTTCTCTGTCAAGAAATGCCATCTTGCCGATGTTTAAAACAGAAATTTACTGCAGGTACCTTTCTCTGTCTAGAAATGCCATCTTGCTGATATTTTAACACAGAAAACCACCTCAGATATTTTCTGTATACTGACTGACTGACTGAGTTTGGTTTTACACCACTTTTAGCAATATTCCAGCAACATCACGGCGGGGGACACCAGCAATGGGCTTCACACATTGTACCCATGTGGGGATTCGAACCCGGGTCTTCGGCGTGACGAGCCAACGCTTTAACCACTTGACTACCCCACTGCCCCATTTTCTGTATACATAAATGTCACCTTGCACAATTTGTAACACAGACATGTTTAAACCCAGCAACCTCCCTCACCTCGCAGCACAATTGTAAGACACGGGTTACAATAACAGTTACTCTGACATCACTGACCAGGTATATAATTTACTTTTCAAACAAGCAACAAGTCTGATGTTTAAATGAGGAGGAGCGTCAACTGGAGTTAGGATAAAACCCCTCACAATATGATAAAACACAATGAAACACAACACTGGTAAACCAGTGAGAGATCAGGAAAGGCATCTTCAGCTTGGCACAAGCAACCAGTTGGTGACTTCTGATAACATTTTCTGTCTCACAATAGACTGCAATAGTTATACACACTACCGTGACACTATTGCAACAGTTATACACACTACTGTGACACTATTGCAATAGTTATACACACTACTGTGAAAACTATTGCAACAGTTATACACACTACTGTGACACTATTGCAACAGTTATACACACTACTGTGGCACTATTGCAACAGTTATACACACTACTGTGACACTATTGCAATAGTTATACACACTACTGTGACACTATTGCAACAGTTATACACACTACTGTGACACTATTGCAACAGTTATACACACTACTGTGACACTATTGCAATAGTTAT